TAATAAACGATAATTGTAAAGTAATACAGTGTAAGCCAAACAGTTTTGAGTGATCAGTACCCAATAGATTCTAGCAACCAGATCTTCGGTCTATTTCATAAAATTTTGTTTCATCTTCTGGTACGTGGTCGTCATTGAAGAAGACTTCGGCCCCCATAGCAACCATATGATCTACGAGCAATGTGCCTGTCATTTCAGCTTTAGTCCTACTACGTTTTTTCTCATCCTTATTTTTGATTCGATCATGCAGGGAATGCCGACATTATAAATAATAATTTATAATAATATTAAATATAGTGTTTTAAATGTAAGGAACATAGATACGATTATATATAGGCTTACAGCGAGCAGTGAGTTTCGTGTAAGGTGCTTAGTCGGTCTTTACGTTAAGAAAATTTTCGTAATTTGCGATGATCCTACCTATAATATTCGATTTTACCAGCTATCACATAAAAAATCAAAAAGAGAAAATAAAACGAGTTTTATTCCTATTTTTTTTTTTGGATTTCAATCACTTTACTCCTTTTAGATAACTTCTGTTTTGACTTTTGTCATTTACACAAAATCGAAATAGTGCCTTACAATTTAATTCTGCTAGAATTTTTGTTTTACGATTGTTCTAGATTTTAGTAAGGCATTCTTACAATAAATTTTATAATTAATTTCTAAAGGTGGATGGTATTTGTCTATTGTACATGCTGAAAATGTACTATATTCTGTACTAACGTTGTTACATTGCAACTTACAAATACTACATATTATGCTGAGATAAATTTGTTAATGCCATTATGTCATTTATTAATGCACTCGCTGTTTTTTCATCTGGGTAATTTTTTTATGGTCAGACTCATTACAAGTTCAATGAATTTCTGGTACCTATATTAAGATCTCCTATCAGAAAAGTACACCAATGCTTATTTATACATGTAAAAACAGGTATTGAGTCTAGTATAATATTTTCCCAAAGGTCTTCACACTTGATTTCCCAAGAGTTTAACCTGCAACTTTTGTACGATTTAGAAACGGTAATTAGTATTTTTTACATTTTATAAATCTATGCTACGTTCTTTATCTAATTAAATAATTTGAACTTTTGTGTAAACATAGCTATCATAAGGGCAAAGAGGCCAACAACACGATTGCTTCATTTTCGATCACATGGTAATATTTAAAATAAAACTATCTTTTCGGATTTTATCGCGAATTTATTTTGATTTTTGGTTACCGACGTTTCGAATGCTTAACAGCAATCATGGTCACGTGAGAGACTGTGGTGTTAGATGTCTATAAGGTATTATATAGTTTTTACGGACAGCCTACCCACAAATAGCAGGATGAATTCAAAAAATTGAAAAAATGGCACCAAAGTACCTTACAATACTTTAACTTTAAACATTTTTATATAATTTTAATTAGCTTTATAAATGAATATGGAATATTGTTTATTTAATTTGAGCTGTTATTATTATAATTATTACAATTTTAAAATATTAATTAGTAATCTACATTTTTAGTGTTGCCATTATTATATCTATAACCATAAAGAAAAATCATAATATATTAATTACTAGCGGCTCACCCTCGCTTCGCTCGGGTTCACCTCTAGAAAAGCACAAACAGATCTATCCCACGGGAACCGTTAATTTTTCCGGGATGAAAAGTAATCTATTGTTTGACCGGCAATATAAGGTATCAGCTTGCCAAATTTAACTAAATTAGGTGCGTAAGTTGTTGTGTACTAAGCTATATAAGTTACTACATTTTTTAAACTATCCCACGGAAACTCTTTAATTTTCTGGAATGAAAATTATCTTGAATGTTGACTGGGGATATAAGGTACTAACATGTAAAGTTTCATTTAAATTAGTTCAATAGTTTCGGAGATTAGCCCGTACAAACAGACAGACAGACAGAGAAACAAAATAATTGAAAATAAAAACTGGATTTGTTCTATTTCTCTTCTTTCGGGATGTAAGAAGAGAAATAACTCGGTTTTTAGCATTTTTTTCTAACCTCTACAGTTTTATTATATGTATAGATAGAATACATAACGTATAATAAAACAGTAATATATAATAACGAAAATAGTTATAGCGAGTGTACCTTAGGAGATAGACATAAACTATGTAGAACTTTTCTATAGACCTTTTTAAGACTTACAATTTTCTTGCACAATGTTTTGATCTATCTTTTAAGGTTGAGCCAACGTTAGCCATATAAATTTCTAAGGAAGATTCGATAGAACCAGTTATTGTGTTTTCCCGTGGGAATGAATAATTTGCCTCGGAAACCTTTTTCCTATCAAGTCCAATTGTATTTTTATAATAATGCATTGTCATTCAAACTAAAGGACTTCACATGAAAAATTTCTGCTCAATCCATTCGGTTGAGGATAACTGCCAAAATGACAAAATTCGTTTGCGAAATTTGACCCGCACAAACAAACATTGCAAGTTAAATAAAAGCTTGTAAAAATATACTTGTTTAATACTTTCTTATATTTAAAATATACTTGTTTACTTGACTTGGTCGAAGAAAATTGAGAAACTACTTAATAAAAAAATATGTGAAATATATTGCTACACTCGCATAGCTCACAGAAAAAATATATAGAAAACTTGAACTTTCTTAACAGAACGTCTCTCCTTCATATTTAAAATAATAAAAAAAAAATCTGAGCATTGCAATTTTTCCTGAAACCAAATACAGAATGTAGTCACTCATTTAGTTTAGCAGAAAAATATAACGAAATTTTTAGATATTTTAGTGCCTTTACATACCTACAAGCTTTTGCTCGTATCTGCGCTCTTCATATAGCATCATCATAGGCCATTTTGATTCTAAAAAAAGATTATCTTTAATAGATTTCATTGTTGTGAGAATCAATACACACATATTACATAAAAGAGATAGGTTAAATTCAAAAAATACCCAGATGATTGTGAAGAATAATCATGCATGTCCTAAAAGGTCCATCTAATATGAAGTGTAAAGATGTTTTATAATGTCGTATGTGTTACTGTAAATATTGTCAATTTAGACAAACGTTATAATAAACTAAAAAACAAGATATACTTCTAATTTTTTTAGTATAAGATACAGTACCTGGGCTACCGAGCTTCGCTCGGAGTTTTTGGCCTAAAGTACAATTATTATTTTTTTTAAACTAAAAACTTGAATAAATAATAAAAAAAAAACAAAAGTAAAAACTTTATATCCGACCGAGATTCGAACCCGAACACCTATGATTGTCAATCTTGCGCCTTGGCCGCTTGACCATGATGCTTATGCCCACGCACGCGTAATTATCGACCATATTTTCTTTCGTGCAATAATGCGAAAGAAACCCGCGTTAAAATTCGAAAATACGCGTTTTCCCAGATATAAGAATAATCTAGATCGATTTACTAAAATCGTTGGAGCCGTTTCTAAAATATATATACATATATAAATTTGAACTTCAAAGCTTTATAACAAATGAAATATTGCAGATAGAAATTCGACTCAATGGCACTTTTTGTACCTAGTAAATTTAATACTAAAAAAGGTCCATTCATTCATTTTTTTTTTGAAAAATATTTTCGTCACAGTTTGCAGGGAAAAAAGTATTTAAAACCATGTTTTCCATGTTAATTGTATGGGAAAACTTAAAATTCGACGGAGAACCTCTTAGAATTGGAATTTTGAGCTCCGCTTTTAACAGGACCTTTCTTGGGACATTTTCTGAGATATTTTGGGATGAGAGCGAAGAAGACAAAATATCGTCATTTTTTGGCACACCCTAATATATATACACAAGAATTGCTCGTTTAAATATATAATATATTAGCTACGTGACTTTGAAACATAATAAGGATCTGAAACGGCAGCTCAAGAACGGTGTATATAGTTGATAATTACATTCGCAAACACTGCAAAATAATTAAACTACAATTTACACGTCTGATATTGTGATGATATAAATCTTTTTCGTGTATGTTTGTATGTAGATAATATGTACGTATGCCTGTAAATAATATGTATAGTTTGCTGTCACTGACTGGATGGGTAGAGCTCAAGTGCCCAGTATAGGGAAATGTGAACATTCAGCAGTTAACGGACATGGGCTGTTAATTGAAATATGCCTAGAATTCTGGAAATCACGGACTCGATCTTCACACAGGTGAACGTTTTTATTGCAGTATTGACAGCAAGTTGATATGTTTTAATACAAATATAAAAATATCAATATTTAGTGTAGTTTCTGTAAGCAATCAATGTTTGAATTTTAATAAAAAGAAACCTAATCGCTTCACGACCGCGGACACGCCGGCGTGTCAGTTAACAATAGATTTATTAAAATTTTAATTAATTTCTTAAAATTTTACCTGGAGGTGTTAAAATATGTTCCTGTTAAAATAATATTAAGTAATAAAAAATATTTTTTTACAGCATCATTTGTAGATTTTAATTTAATTTCAGTATATTAGGTAATTCTAGTACATCATACCCTGTATGCCAGTTCCGCTATACGTCAGCATACTTGAATCTGTTTACATTTGACGAATCTATTGATTTTGCTGACCAATTTAAATAGACATATTTAGACTTGAAATACGCTAATAAAAAGATTGCTAGACACAAAAACACGCAGTATTGCAACAGCAGTGACTAGTTGTACGAGTACATTAACGTAAGTACCCGTCCCATTAATGTAATTTAGTTAAATATTTATGAAATTAATCATACTTTAAGTATAAATGCCAAAAATTTGTCTTATAAATATGTATTTATTTGAATGCGTTGTTCGAAAACAGTTATTAGAATATTGCATTCGTCCGAGTGTTATTCCCTGCTGTATCGGTTGTCTGTGAAATCTCTTCATCGTGTAAGAGAAATTATTTATTTTTACTGTCACTTAGTCAATTTACAATTTCTTTGTGTTTAATATCCATTTTATTGTATTACTTAGAAAATCGTATCATATTATTTTATAACAATATTTTTTTATGTTGAATAGAATGAAGACGTTCGTAGTATTAGCGGCTGTATTAGCAGCGACTTTGGCTTTACCAACTGACACTTACAATCCTATGTATGATAATTTCAACGCTCATGAGCTAGTAGAAAATATTCGCTTACTTAAAAACTATGGAAAGTGTTTTTTGGAACAAGGACCTTGCACATCAGAGGGGCTGGAGTTTAAAAGTGAGTTTTCTTAAAATATTCGTATTTAATTATATTACATTATAATACTTTCTTAGATTTACGCGAATATTTGAAATTTTAAATAAAACTATCTTTTCGGATTATTTCGCGGATTTATTTTCAATTTGTTAATTGTGGGTAGGCTGTCTGTAACAACTATACCCTCGAGACATGTAACACCTCAGTCTTTCCCGTGACCATGGATGCTTAAAGCATTCGAAACGTCAGGAACCAAAAATCAAAATAAATCCGAGAAATAATCCGAAAAGATAGTTTTATTTAAAATTACATTACAATTTTGGGTAATAAGTTATATTTTTATTAATAACCTAGTGGCTTAACCTCGTTTCGCACGGATGCGCCACTAGGTGTCTTTTGCATTTATAATATTCCCACACTCTCTTCCCTCGATCTTCGTTAAAAAATAACACTGTATTTTCTATAAATATAATATACCGGAATATATAATTTATCTTTATGTCTAACATAGGATTTTCATAGTTTCATTCAAGTTTTATTTTCGCGATAAAAAGTAGTCTTATGTCCTTTTACAAGGTGTCGTCTATCCTATCCCAAAATTCAGCCAATTGGTTCAGCGGCCCATATACTTGTGAAAAAGTAACACACAGTCAGTTTTACTTTAACTTTTATAATATTAGTATGATTATTAGACATAATTAATTAATATATAATAATAGCAAAAATCAATAGAACAAGAAAAAGCTAAGAATATTTTTTTAAATAAAAAATTAAAAAACTATGTTTAAAAACTGACTTCAAAAACTAAAAAGTATAAAATAACTTAATAAAGATTTAATTTAATACACCTCTTATGCAAACCTAATATCTATACTTATTATAAAAATAAGTCCCCCGGCCGCGTCTTTCTGTCCTCCTGTCTGTCCTCCTGTCTGTCTGTACGCGATAAACTCGAAAACTACAGAACGGATTTTTATACGGTTTTCAACAATAGAAAGAGTAATTCTTGAGGAAGGTTTAGGTATATAATTTATTATGCTTTTATGTAAATTAGCTGAAATACGGCGACAAATGTTGAAGAGGTCGCAAAAAATCTCGCCAAATGGGAACTTTCCACGCGAACGCCGCGTAAACTAGCAAAGATACAGTTAAGTAATGTACTAGAGAATTCAAAATCTATAAAAATGCTACAAAAAAGTCCGCGATAGCATATCTCTATCTCTTACGGTTGACTTACAATAACCACTTTTATGTTAACATTTTTAATTAAAAACATTACGTTATTTTCAAAGTTATTTTCTTTAGTTCGGTATTAATCCTTATCCAAATGAATATTTTAGTTAGCTTAGTCATTTAATGCAGATTAAAATTGCTCTTTACACTAAATCAATCAGATGAATAGTTTTTGAGATATCGTTGTTAGAAGTAATTAGTAGCGAAACATTTTTAATGCTTGGCGAGCATTGAGATGCCTACGGCGAGTCCATCCCCTCTGCCCCGCATCGCTCGACCGCCTGCTCAAGCTATATAAACCGGGCGATGTAGCGCGCGATCCTAGGATACTTTTTACCGCGGGAAAATATCTTATTTCTGAGGAAAAATACAAAAACTGCAATGTAAGAGTATACTAATATGTAACACCTAAGAATTTAGTTTTTGGTCATCTGAACGCGGGCGGAGCCGCGGGCAATGCTAGTATTTAATATTCATAAAATACTATTATTTGTATGTGCTACCTATTGATAGGTTTGAAGTCGGTACCAAGCCAAATGTAATAGGTACCTACACTCGCCGCGATCTGAGAAATCTATACTAAAGGCGACCTGACGTCAACCCTCTTTAGGAATAGAATATTTTTTTAGTATTATTTATAAATAATATATCATTTTCAGAGGTCATCCCTGAAGCGCTAAGAACAAGCTGTGGCAAATGCAGCCCCAAACAGCGTGAACTGATTCGCATAGTAGTCCACGGTTTCCAAACTAAACTGCCGGAACTCTGGGACCAACTTACTAAAAAAGAAGACCCTAATGGCGAATATAAAGAATCCTTTAACAAATTCTTAAAAAGCTCTGATTAGATGACTACTAACCTGGTGATTAATTCCTAATGAAAATATTTATTGATATCAAAGGCGTCTATATAATCATTTTACTGAAGTAAGCGAGTCACATCACATATTTTAAATGTACATAATATATAATACGATTTTAAGTAAAAATAAAATTGCCTTAAAATTAATCGACGGATTTTCTTTTTTCCTAAAACTTTTAAAAAATTCTATAAAAATATACATTATTAATTAATTAAATGATATAAATTACGCATACTATATACATATGCTATACATATAAAAAATAATATTTTATATATATATATATATATATTTGAATAGGTACAATACGAATTTTTTTTCTTAAAAAATATTAATCTTGTGTAAAGGACAATGCAACCTTTTATATGGACCGGTGGCATCATTATTTTGTTTCGCCGGTTATGAAACTCAGATAAGATCTAGATGAGAAGACTATGTAAGAAATGTATTAAAAAAGAAACGAATTCGCTAAACCGTAACAAATAAGAGATCGTTTGGCTCAGTTTGTAGTGATTGTAGTATTTGCTGTGCCAGCGGTCGCGGATTCGAGTCCCGCTGGGGGTATAGGTATATTTGTGTGATGAGGACAAATGTTTGTACTGCAGTCATGGGTGTTTATATTTATAATATGTATATTGTATATACTTAAATTTATTCAAGTGTAGTATTTTAACTATCTGGTATCCATAGCATAAGCCTCGTAGATCACCATGGAACTAGATGGTGCTATGTGTTAATGTCCTAACATATTTATTTATTATTATTACACATCCAGCTTACGTTGAGTGACTTGCCATCCTCCTAGACCATATTATACAAATTTTATTTGTCTGGTTCGTTATGGTTTGTTCTTCAATAGATTTCATATAGTGTTCTAGTCAAAAAAATAGCCAAAAAGCCTATCCCTTTTATTTTCCCTCTATATGATTGATATACGATAAATCATTAAATATATGTATAATAATCATTAAATAAGTTTATAAAAATATAAATTAACAGTTACATATTAGTAGCGTAAATTGGTAAAAGAAGGGTAGGGAGACCGAAACGGCTGACGATATAACCAAATTAATAGGAAAAAACTGGCAAACTATAGGCAAGGACAGAGATAAGTGGAAAGGACTGAAGGAGGCCTTCACCCGAGGAGGGGTCCATATCCAATAACAAAAACGAACTCTTATTAACATTTAGACAATAAGCAAAACATTAATAACTAACTAAACACTAAAAAACAAATACCGACATTTGAAATGGAAATTAAGGATAAGGAAATACAGGTTTTTTTATTTTTATTTATTTTATTATTAGTAGCGTAGCGTAAAATGAATCTATACTCGTAGAAAGAACTACTTAGTAGTGCTATTCTGTAAGAACATCAATGTCATACTCATAATCCGCGATTGTACATCTTAAAACTGCACAAAATGTGTTCATTTATCGTGTAAAAAGTTCATAAGAAATAGAAGGTCTGGTTTTTAAACCTACATTTATTCTATAATCCATGCCGATGCTGATGCATTACAGCAAAAGAAAAATCTATACATATAATAAAATTGTAATTAAGCCCAATTTGTACATTAAATATTTTTGGGAAAATCTTATTGAAATAGACATAATTATCGATACAGAGGCCGAATCTATAGTTTTTCGAATTTTCGTCTTTTTTTAAGTTTTTGTCAGTTTTGAAAGATTTTGATAAAATTTGGTATAATGATAGTTGGTAAATGGGGTATAAACTATAAAGGATACTTTTTACTGCGAGAAAATATCTCATTTCTGAAAAATCTATACTAAACGTTAAAACGTAAGTAGGGACGAACCCGAGCGGAGCACGGGTGAGTCGCTAGTGTAGAACAAAAAACAGAATGTCATAATACTTTTTTAGATTAGCGGGAGTATTTGACAATTTTAAATAAAAATTAAAGTAGAAAAAAAAATATTATTTAGAACAGAATGTCAGTCAAACTTTGTTGTACCTTTTTAACATTCGAAAAGCCATCACTGGTATATGGCATACAGATTTTGTACTTCTAACAAAAAAATGTATGCTCATACCATTTTTCTTTTTTTTACGGAGTGTCTAGTCGTTCTTTAATAGGATGAATAAAAAATAATTATTCTTCCTTTATAAACTATATTAATTTAAATCATAAGGAAGAACGAATAGACTAATAAATAACTTCTTAGCTCAGTACTCGTAGGTTCAGATTATTATTATTTTTGCATACAGAAACTCCTGCACGTAAAACATTTTTTTAACCTTAAAACACTTGTGCTTAAAAATCGTTGGGATTTAAAAGAATATGTTTCCATATTAGTAATTAATAAAGTTTTTTAAAAATTGTAATATTTATAATTTTTAAAAATTTAAAAAGATGATTTTTTTTAAATATTTAGAAATAAAAATCAACAAATGTATGTGTATGTGTTGTAAGATACCTACTTTATTGCCATTTTTTGAATTTTTGAATCATTTTTGTAAAATAGTGGGTAGGCACTGTTTGTAACAAGTATGTGTTTGAGATGTCTATAACCTAGTCTCTCCCGTGACCATGGATGCTGTAAAGCATTCAAAACGTCGGGAACCGAAAATCAAAATAAATCCGCGAAATAATCCGAAAAGATAGTTTTATTTAAAATATTTTTCATTCATCCGAATATCGGACAAATAGCAACTTCCTCCTTTATTTATCCTAATAAAGTACGAATAATTATTATTTATTCGTCTTTATTATAAGTACAAATAGCAAGAGCCTATTTTTTAAAGTATAAATTGCGAAGACAATTTTAATTACAAAGATGTACTCAAGATAATAAGCATTCAACTTAAAATCGATAACTAATATTTCGATCATATCATTTGCTCTTTTATATAGAAAGGCGTTGAGAGTATACAAATTTGTAAACAATCACTGAAATTTAAAAACATATTGTATTTAAAATGCCAATTTTAGGCATTTAGACATTTTGAAAATTAAATTATTGTGTATTGTGTATTTAACTCTTTTTAACGTTCCACTGCTGGACACGGGCCTCTCTTCAATACGAGGGGGTTCAGGCCATAGTCCACCACGCTGGCCAAGTGCGGGTTGGCGGACTTCACATGTCTTTCGAAAACTTGCTAGGTTCTCTCAGACATGCAGGTTTCCTCACGATGTTTTCCTTCACCGTTAAGACAAGTGGTAATCATGTTGGAAATGATTCGCACATGAAAATATCAGAGATGCGAGACCCGGGATTTGAACGCGCTTCACCGGGTTTCCCAAGTGCACACGTTACCACTGGGCTACCACTGTCTTAAAATGAAATATATTTATACCCGAATTTCCCAGAAGGAGAGCAATGTTTGTAATATGTATACATAAAGTATGTACCATATTATTAAGTTTATATAATTTCTATTTCTATTTAAAATATGAAAACTATTTAGATTTGTCTTTTAAGGTACAAAGAAGTTATGATTAATATGTGAATCAAAAAAGAGCCTAGTATATGATTTAACCTACCAATACATCTATACTAATATTATAAAGAGGCAGAGTTTGTTTGTTTGCTTGTTTGTTTGAACGCGCTTGTCTCAGAAACTACTAATCTGATTTGAAAAATTCAAAAAAGGATTTTGAGGAAGACATCATATAATATTTATAGTCTGCTTATTCCATACTAACCGTTAAAACGTACCTATAAGTTGCTAGTAGTATATATAAAAGGCAATGTCGCGACTCACCGACTGACTCGTCGACACCCAGCCCAAGCTGCTGATGGTAGAAGTTTGAAATTTTTAGAGCATATTGATTTTGTACTATTGGTGTCATTTAAGAAGGAAAATTCAAAATTCATCCCATTAAGGAGTAAAAGGGATGATAAGTAACGTTAGTATTTTTATAATACTTTCTTAGATTTACGCGAATATTTGACATTTTAAATAAAACTATCTTTTCGGATTATTTCGACACTTAACAACTTTACCTTCAAGACATGTAACACCTCTGTCTCTCCCGTGACCATGGATGCTGTAAAGCATTCGAAACATCGGGAACCAAAAATCAAAATAAATCCGCGAAATAATCCGAAAAGATAGTAAATATTTTTTTTTGTTTTAGCGTTAATCTTACAAATTACGTAAGAAAAAACCACACAATATTTGGTATGGAAGTCGAAACCTTCGTTCGGTACAAAACTTTTCAAACACTTTCATTCTAAACTCGTTTTGGCTTATTATTAACATAATATTACGAATATGGTAAACTGTTTCATTTTTGGTTATTTAAAAGCACTAACACGTGACTAAATGGTGTTATTACAATTGTCACGTAAAGCTTCAATTCGCTGATTGATAGAATTTTATTTCACAGAAGACATGTTATATTTATCACTACTTAAAAATCGATACCAAAGTAATTAGAAATTATTTACATAAAAGTGATAAAATAATATTAAACAATCATCACTACATATTATATGAAATAAAGTCCTCCGCAACGTTTGTCTGTCTGTCTATTCACGATAAACTCAAAAACTACTAGACTGATTGTCATGCTGTTTTCACCAATAGATAGAGTGGTTTTCGAGAAAGGTTTTAATATATAATTTTTTAAGTTTTTGTATACATTGCCTAAAATATATGTAACAATATTTGTTGGAGGTGTCGGAAAAAAATAAGCCACCTGGGACCTTTCAACGAAAACGCTGCCTAAACAATTTGAGATATAATACTTTCTTAGATTTACGCAAATATTTGACATTTTAAATAAAACTATCTTTTCGGATTTTGTCGCGGATTTATTTGTATTTTTGTTTCCCGACGTTTCGAATGCTTTACAGCATCCATGGTCACGGGAGAGACTGAGGTGTTACATGTCTTAAAGATATAGTTGTTAAAGACAGCCTACCCACAATTAACAAAATGAAAATTGCACCAATTACATTACAATATTTTAACTTTAAACATTTTTATAATTTTAATTATAATTGAATATGGA